TCTCTCTCTCTCTCTCTCTCTCTCTCTCTCTCTCTCTCTCCCTCTCTCTCTCTCTCTCTCTCACACACACACACACACACACACACACACACACACACATCTTCACATGCAGGGATGCATGCACGCGCACGCGCACGCACACAGAAAAGAGGTTTTACCTACTGATGAAACGGTTTGTCACAGCTATGACACTTTTTGTGGGGTTGTGTTTAGCGAACAAGACAGCACATACACCGGTGATGCACACATCCTCACGTTTCGTTGGTGTGCTTCACTCCCATCAGGTAGCCCTCCAAAAGGCATGCACTCCCATCGGCGACCAGCTTGGCTACAAAACCCTTTGCAAAATTGATGTTCTGCACCCGCCCTGTGTTTTGATGAAGCCTCCTTAAGTTTGGGATTCAGACAATCTCATGGAATCGCCAACCTCCACCTCCATTCGTTGATACCATGGAGCAATTCTCGTATTCTGGACAAGCTCCTCTCCTGCCTTCAGATGTCGAATAGGTCTCAAAACACCAAATACTGCAAGGTCAGCCAGATTCGGCTTACTTCCACCTGAGTACACAATGATCCCAAGACACACACACACACACACACACACACACACACACACACACACACACACATGGTGGAGTGAGTATAGAGTGGGTTTTATGGGTGTGACAGACTAGTTTCTCAGACTTACTGCCATTCTTGTCAGGGTTTTGGACCGGCAGTCTGCTAGAATTGCAGGGTTGGCATGAGTAAAGTCGACCGCTTTTCTCGGGGGTATCGCTAACCCTGGGCAACGTACTTATCAATCAGTCTAATGCCTCCTGGGCATACTGTCGTGGTTCAACCTCCTGACGTGTTGGTGATAGTCCGACGAAACAGTCCGGAACAGTCATGCTTATTCTGTGTAGTTGTGTATAACGAAAATGACAACACACACACACACACACACACACACACACGAGAGAGAGAGAGAGAGAGAAGGAGATCTGCTGCTGTAAGAACACGCACCAGTCATGCAAACTGGTGCAGTTCAGAACCATGGCTGCAAATGGACACACTTCAATGATGCAACAACTCTGCAATTGCAAGCAGGGCTGGAGTTTGTTCTGCGCCTTTCTTTCCGCCTTGAACTCCCCCCCGGGAATCCATACTTTTTCTGTCATCTGCATTCCTGTTAAATGCACTTTTGCACGTCTTCTTTTCCTTTTTCCCATTCTGTGCATACATGTTTTTCTTCCTGCACTTCAGGCAGACACGGGGAGCTCGGGGCGAGAGTGGAGAGCGGGGTGAACAGGGGCGGCGGGAGCCGGGGGAAGGGGGGAGGAGGGAACACAGGGGAGGAGGGTTGCTGTGGACTGTGGCGAGCTTAGAGTGGGCGGGAAGGAATCGTGCCTTGCATGCAAGAACCTGTTCAACAGTGAAAAAAATTCACAACGTAAGGATAGGGCTATTGAGAACACCAGCAAACCTCAAACACAACAGCAGAAGGGAGAGAACCCACCAAGGAAATTGCGTGGTCCAACAGCATCCATCCACGTGTTGGCTGCGTCATACAAACTCTTCCGTTCATCCGTTATATTATACTTCTTCTTGAGTCGCATGGAAACAAAGTACATTGCTGTTGCCCCCGCATACTTCGACACAAGCCGCTCCCACGCCGAGAAATTTCCTGCAATGAATTCAAGCAGCAGAAGAAGCACCAAACCACAAGCAAGACATGTAACGAACAGTGATGTCAAAATGAGAACCAGGAAGTCCTGGTACTTCAGCGAAAGAGCTTATCATCTCAACCTGGTTTCGGGACAGACCAGGTGGAACAAGGAGTTTCGGGACCGAAAGAGACGAACGGAACGAGTACCGGGAGGGATGACCAGGACTGACGGAGGGAACTCAGTGTGATATCTTCGGGTCTAGACCGTGTCAGGAAGTCGTACCTGGGACCGGGAGACGCAAAGACTGGGTATAAGTAGATTAGTGTTAGGACTGTTCAGACATCTCGAGTTGCCCCCTGACGAGGTCATACCTGACGACGACTGAAACTAATAGGGGAAGGCCAGGCATTGGCAAGTCGTCACTCGTCGGGGAAGTGCGTAGATTAGGCGGCAAGTCTGATGGTGTTAACCATAAGCTTGCTATGCTTGTCCCGGGGATTATACTTCCATGAGTATGAGACCTTCAACTTTGAGTTTGTCTTTTCGCATAATTTTGCCATGACTAGACTATCGCGGTTATGTCCCGGCGTCTCGTCAGTCTTGGTGCTGATTGCATCCGCGTCTTGACATCAACCTGGTTGCCACTGACAAAACTTTATTCCCCCMCTGATTTTCTGTCTTTTTTTTTTTTTTGAGCCCACCGATTTCTCATCCGTTGGAGCAAACAAAACGGTTGGAAAACCTTTACGCTTTGAATTTCACCAAACAAAGCCCAGCTATCATCATGCCATTATGATTAAACTCAGGCTGGATATAGCAAGGATCAACCCACATGATCTGTTCTAAATGCTAATCCACAATTCAATGTCATAAAATACGGGTAGTGAAAGACCTTCCGTAAGTCAATTGCAGCCAAGTACCTGAAGAAAATCAACTAGTGCAAAATATACCACCGGCAGTAAAACAATTACCGTTAAATTACTGGACTATAATTATAGTAGAATACGCACCTGCGGTAAAGTAGCAGCAGTAAAGTAACCCACTACAGTAAAGTAACCCACTACAGTAAAATAACCCACTACAGTAAAGTACCAACAACTACGGTTAAAAAAAGTACCAACAGCTACAGTAAAGTACCAACAACTGCAGTAAAATACCAACTGCAGTCAGATGAGATTCGAACTCACCATTCGTTGTGATGTACTCGAACGCTTCAACAGCTTCCGCAGGTGTCCGATAAATGTTGGGGGAGAGAGTATGCACAAGGTGATCATCAACCCMCCTATCAGAAACACATACACACACACACAAAAAAAAAAAAAAGAAAAAAAAAAAGCACGATATCCACAAGCATGTCAGCAAAAACAACTTTAAGCACACTAAGCTGGAGTAATTCGACCCTTTTTCACATGAATGCTCCTTTTCGCCCCCCTCCCCTTCAGCTTGGGGAAAAAAAAAGAAAAGGCCCACACAACTGCAAACTAAAAAAGAAAAAGGACTCCCAGTATCCTCCAGTGACACACAATCTCTAGTACCTTCAGTAACTTTTTCCAGTACTTCCAGAGCTTCAACCAACCCTTCAGTAACTTTCCAGTAACCGCAGTCACCTTCTATTCACGTGGAATGGTGCATATCTTGCAGTGTGCATCCATATACCTTATAGCCTTTGCAATATTTTTGTCCTCTTTTCTTTCTTTTCTTTATTTATTTTTTTTCTTTCTTTTCTTTTTTTTCTTTTTTTAAGGTGACGACCTTGAGATATCGTCGTCAAAAACTGACTGGCCCCAGGTACCTTCCCAGTTATTTTACTCATCTGAGTCAATTGGGATTCGCACTGAGGTCCGTAATTCAACGGCTCATGGATGTACAAACAGAGCTAAGCCTTTTTTTTTTTTTAACGTGGTCCGATGGACAACGGATCGGATCGGATCAGATATTAAACTGATCAGAACAGATACTACACTTGATCTTACTTAGCCAAAAGGCCGCGAAAGCTAGACCTGTTGATGCCCTTTTTTTTTTTTTTTTTTTTTTGTAAGAAGCTTATACCGCTTCATACTATTTATATTTCTTTTTACCTGTCGATCCTTACGTCAAGATGCAAAAGTTGGGAAACGATATCGACGACAGAAATGCAGGTAGAACCGTAGGAGTGTTTTGAAGTTCCAACTTTCAAAGGCTATAGCCCATCTTTATCTCTTCTCTAATACTATAATACTATAAAGCAAATAGAGGGTCTCGCATGACGGTCCCACGCGAGCACCCGTTGCCAGTGTTGGGAAAAGTCGAGAGGGCCCTAGGGCCCATGCTAGGAGCGGCCGGCGAAACGGTGCCGCGGCCAAACGGGTCGGGAGCGGGTGGGGAATTGACGAGCGGGCTGTGCCGCGGCCAAACGGGTCGGGAGCGGGCGGGGAATTGACGACCGGGCGGGGAAACAGCGAGCGGGCGGCAGGG